GTTCCTACAAAACTACCCCTTTCTCTCTCTTGACTTTCTCATTGTTCTCATGTTCTGGCTGCCTCTTCCCAGAACAGCAGCACTGGAGCTTTTGAACACCTTTGTGTTACCAAGAAAGAATAACTAGGTCACTTAAAAAAATCAGTCCATTTGATTAGTCCTTCTTCCTTTCCTTCTTTTTTTTTTTTTCCATTCTACCTTTGTACCTTGCTTGAGGCTACTGAAGTTTCTCACGTGCAAGTTCTTGGGTTGATGATCAGCATTTTAACCATTTCTCTTGCAATTGCTGTAAAGTCACAATCACTTAAAGCATAATCATAAGCCTTATTCAAATTATTAAGTCTGAAATTTTAAGCCTGCTTTATATAAATGGTATTATATGGTTAAAGAAATCAGGATTTAATATTTTTTCCTGAGATGTATTCTTGTCATTTCAGAATAATACAGACCATTATGAGATCTCACAGTAAAGAGAAATTTCCGTGACAAGTATGGAACAAGTCAATTACTTGCTTTTAACTTATTTCTAATATTCAACTCAATTAATGTTAGTAAAATTATGTACTGTGAATGACAAAAATGAAATTCACTCAGTGAAAAATTCTGCCAGCAGAAAAGGAATGCATTCTAGTTTCAGATTTAAATATTACTCTATTATCTAAAAAATAGCCACATGCAGTATTTATTAATAAGTAAATCTCAATGGAAGCCTACAAAATAAAATATGCTGCACGTATGTACAAAGAAAGAAAAAAATCAAATTAGCATTACTTACTTGATTAAGTATATCTTGTTTCTGCAACACATGCAAGGAAAGAAAGAACATACATACATTAGTGCAGTGTCATAACACTCAAGCTCTGTTTTTATAATAGAAGTATTTTTAGTGAAAGGTTAGTGATTTAGATGAGCAGGTTTAAGACATTAGATGGACTATCTCATTTTCTTGCATTAGCTCATAAGTCAAGAAAATGCTTCTAAGTCAGCTCTCTAGTCTTTATTAGACAGTGCAAGCAATTTATTTCTAAACATGCAATTATAGATAACCAAGATAAATAAATATTATGTTAGTATTTCTTCCACACTTTTTAAAAAAGCATCAAAAATTGTTAACAAGAAGAGCTGTAAATGAAACTGAATTCAGTTATCAGAACTGAATATTCTAAAATCCAAGTGGAAAGACCATGGAGATGACTATCAGTGCCACTACATGACACATACAGGACCACCAGGGGATCAGTCCATGCCTGCAGGAGTTTCATAAAGGCAGATCCCAGGTCCTTGACACCTGAACTCCTTCTACGACAAAGTGACCTGCTGAGTATATGAGGATATTGTCTACCTGGACTTCTTAGAATCATTATCAACAACGTTGGATAAGACCTCTAAAGGTTTTTAGTACAGTCTTTAACAGTGGATTCTCCTGGAGAAACTGTCTGCTCATGGCTTTGACAGGTGTACCTTTCCTGGGTAACAAACTGGCCAGGTGGCAGGGCCTCGGGAGTGGTGGTCAGTGGAGTTATATCCGCTTGGCAGCCAATAAGAAGCGGTGTTTCCCAGGACTCACCAAGTCCTGTATAATATCTTTATCAATGATCTGGACAAAGGTATGACCTGCACCTTAGTCAGTCTGAAGATGATGCCCTGTTGGGCAAGAGCTTTGATTTCCTTCCTGAGGGCAGGAAGGCTCTGTGTAGGGATCACTGGACTAAGGTCAGTGATATGAGGTTCAACAAAGCCAAGTGCTGGTCCTGCACTTGGGTCATAGTGAGCCCAGGCAGCTCCACAGGCTGAGGCAAAATTGTCTGGAATGCTGCCCAGCAGAAAAGGAGCTGGGGATGTTGCTTGACAACCTGTTGAACATGGGCCAGTGTGTCCCCACGTGGCTAAGAAAGCCAACGGACTCCCCCATAACCAAAGAATTAGGAGGCACTCAAAAAAGATAACACTAGGTCTACAAGCACACACTGCTGTGTACTTACTGCCCGTTTAGATACTGTCTTTAGCTCCGCTTGCTTTTCTAATTCTTATCAACCTATTCAATGCTCCCCTCAAATTGAAATGGATGAAATTAATTAATATAAATAGACCTCAAATGATGAAAAGAATATTTATCAAGCACAGCTTTCCAAGAGGCTGGTCTTAGATTATGCGTCTTACACCATGTATAAAATCTGTTCTCAATTACGTCTTTGATATCGACTTAAAGAATATGAAAGGGCAGGTGTTCAGTAGTATTTGTAGAAATTTTAGGCATCTCCCTCACACTGAAAGCAGAGAGTAAAAGTTCCATAAACAAACTCCCTATAGTAGATAGCCTTCTCATAATTATATACACCACTTCCCCTAATCCTAAAATCCACTCATTCAACAAGATAAAAAATAATGTAAAACAAACCAGATTATTTCAGGTAGCAAGTTTTGAATACCAGTGGCTTTTATTTTGCAATTTCCATTCCATTAGATCAGTCTGTGACAAAAAAACTGCTTTGTAGAACCAATGGAGTGGAACAAATTCCTGAACCCTTTAAATATGTAAGTAAATATATAAGTAGATATTCAAGTAAACATATCACTCTGATTAATTTGCCATAGCTCTATGAGCCATGTCTATTGGTAAAAAACTGGCATCATCTTTTGGTAGAACAAGACTTAAACTATTTGGAGTGCTTATAATTATCTAGGAAAGAGAGAGGTAAAAAGAAAATATGATGGTGTCCTCTACAACACAAAGAACAAGGCAGAAGTGTTGTACAGAATATATAGAAACAAATAGCTGCACTAAGACTGATACCAGCTGGATCAGTTAATTTTTGTCATCTCATTTACAGATAATAGTTAATTACTTATAACCAATCCAGAGAGCCCTCATCCAACATAAAATGAATTTGCAAATAATTCTGTAAAAAGTTTATCCACACAGCAGGCTGAATGCATGCCAAAATATAGACACACCTGTGCAAAAGCAGTTTGCTTGTCAGAATAGAATATTTACTCAGTGCGAGGAAATTTCAGCCACTTTGCTTTCAGTTCAGCTATGGCATGAACCTTGAGCTAACAAACCTTATTAGATCCAGAGTCGCTTTGTTGCTAGCTATGCTTTCTTTATGTTGCTCTCCCTGAAGTCTAAGTGCTAAGCAGCAAAGTACAAAAGTTGCCAGGGTTAGCCTAGGTCCAGTATTGACCCAGGAGTTAGTGATTGATCCCTGCTGAAGACATTGAAGTCATCACAGGATGCCTGCCTTGAATTCCTTCTTCCCCTACCCTCCTCCTGTCCTGCTCCCTGCCCTGGGTACTCTGCTGCTCTGGATGTTTCAGGACACTGGTAGAACTCTGCAAATGAAGAGCTGTGAAATGAAGAACAGGGAGACACCATGCAGAATCACAGACCCATCCCAAGACCAACTGCGCTTATTAATTCCAGCTTTGCACAGATTTTGCCAATTCACCTGGCTTCAGTCAGAGCAGTTTTCCTGGGTACCCATCTTGCCATGACTCAACTTCCATGTAGCCCCAAATGGGAAAAATGACTTTGTTAAAAGAGACTAATCACATCACTTTAGGTAAACATGTTTATATACAATTGACAAATTGAAAATATGTTACCCATATGGCAATGTATTATTTAAATACACCTAAAATGCAGTTATATTTTACTTTAACAGGGTGTGCTTCACAAAAGTGAGCATGTACAATGACTGAAAATATGCAAAGAATTACAAGAAAAACACAGAATAGATTAAGACCATTTTATCAGTTCACATTTAAAAAAAAAAAAATCAAAAGTACGTCTATATTCTAACAAAAAGCAGGTAAAGGAGGTCCTACACCCTGTGGATAATCACAGCAATCCCATCCATTTATATTCTATGAATGTACTTAACTTGAATCCTGGAAATCTAAGATGATCATATACATGATCAATTCACACCATTTTACTGAATTACTAATTTTTTTTTCCTCAGAAACTGACTAAAATGACTAGCATTATGCCTGGCCAAATTCAAAGCATCAAATGATTTTTCAATACTTAATAAGCTATAACTCATTAGCTGACAATAATGGTATTGCCAATATATTTTCAATATTTTTTTGCATTTTACATCCTGAAATGTAAGATCTAGTAATTTTTATAATGGTTACCATATGTTTCTATCCTGAATTTCATATAATGTGAGCACAGTCAGAAATATTACTACTAGAAACATGACTGAAAGAGTTTTATTTAGCTACATGCTGAATCACAATATTAGGATGTGCTAAACAAATGCAAATTTCAGTTGAGGATACGAAAAGAAAACAATCTGCCTTTTTCTTCCAGCCAAATCAGAATACTTTGTCTAGTGGTGAATCTGTAGTGACAATAGGCATACATATCTTTTTTTTCAGCTGAATTCTTTGTTTCATATCATCAGAAAATTCCACTAGCAGAAACAACACAAGGGAAACAGAATTTAAAAAGATATCTTAATGGACTTTACTTTTATAACTTTTGAAACTATGCTTAACATTTCCAATCTTCAGACACTTGAAAACCCTATTAATCTCATCATAAGGGCTGTGGAGGTGTTTTGGGTGTTTGGTTTTTATTTGGGGGGGTGCGGGGGAGAAGGGGAAGGGGATGTGCATGCTGATTTTGACTGGGATAGAGTTAATTTCCTTCAAAGTAGCTTGCATGGAGCTGTGTTTTGGAGTTGTGCTGAGAACAGAAGGATGTTTTAGTTATTTACACGGAGTCAAGGCCTTTTCTCACCAGCCCACGAGCAAGGCAGCTGAAGGTACCTAAGAATCTGGAAAGGGGCACAGTTGGGATAACTGACCCCAACTGACTACAGAGGTATTTCAGATCATATGGCATCACGGTTTTTTGCTTTCTAAACACTTTCAAATACCCCAAACACCTGATTTATAAATAATCTCCTATTTAAAATGCTAAATATGCTATACAATTTACACACTGTCCCCATCATTTCTAATCATTAAGAAACAAGAAAAATTACCCCTTCAGGATTATATTTTGCTAACACACCACTGCCATGGAATTCTTCTAAGACATCCTTAATTTTCTTGGTGGAATCTGGATAAAAAAATAAAGAGAGAGAAATTGAAAATACAGAACACTGATTTACATAATATGAACTGTAATTAAAAAAACAACCATCAAAACTGCTAACAGCTTTTCACAATGCACATTAGTAATTTTCTGTAGCTGTATGAGAGCTGTGGGCATAAAGAAAATGAGAACATACTTTACCTTCTTAACAACTACTGTAAAAACCAGCAAGTAAACATAAAATGCTCAGAAAAAAAATCCACTCTTTGGTCTAATCCTTAACTGTTAAATAGCATATTTCTGCAGGAGTTTTTTTCATGACTATTTCAAGTCACTTTTCTTGTCCTTGAGTCAACCACAAAACACGGTCGTTTCCACCAGCACTGCAAAATCTCCTTTGGCAGAGCTGCCAGTGAGTACAGGAGCTGGACAGTATCAAGATAAATGGGAACCCTCCAGAAAAAAAACTCTTCAGTGGTCACATCACAGAATACAAATGTTGTTCTCAAAACCTCAATTTTTGCAGAGTTCTCAGGTATTCTAAAAACTGTAAGCTTCAGTAACTTTTGTCTAACAGAACTGTGCAAATCCCTGCAGTTTGGAATCAAGTAGACATAATTTTTCCATTTTTTTTAACTATGTGCAGAATAACAAAGCAATTGCTTCAGTAAACTGCCACTACATTAAATCCCTGAATTCAGATTCACTTAGAACTCACCATGCACATAACCATCTTTTCCTCATTAAATATCTCAGCAACACAAGAAAAATAACTAACTCATTTGTTTCTTTAAAATGCAGTAGTTGAGTGTACAATGGTCAAATGTGCACAATGGCCATGAACAAGTAATGAGTACCAAAGCAGTGAATAAGAGAATAGGTGAACTTTGCATCTGCAATTTTATTTCTACAACAAAACCTGGAAGTAAAGTAGAGAAGCAAAGAGCAAGCCAAGAACAGGACTCTAGAGCAATTATTTAGGCACTTAATATTACAAACATTAGACATAATATGGCTTCTCTTAATTAAATCAACAAAATATGGCATTGTAATAGTTCTTAAACTTTAAAGAAATCCAGCATCTTAAACATGACTCTAAAACATAAATTTAGCAAATTATGTGACCTGAAAGGAGAAAATGTAGCAGCCAAGGATTGGTACAATAGTTATGTAACAGTTCTGTAACAGTTCATAGCAGCTATAAACAAAAAATTCACTTTTAAGAGGTGTTGGAGGAAGTGTTTCTCTCCCACTCTCATGCACAGTTTACACAGTAATAAGAATGGTGTTTCCCAACGTTTTTCATTTACCAAATTTTCTTAAATAAAAACATCTAAGACTATGCGTGGCCCCAATAAAATAGTTTATTTTCACTAATTGGATGTATTTCAACGTTACTATCAACTACAGGGAACAGCGTTTAGCAGCTCTCATGAGCAGTCAATGCAAATACTTAATAAACTCATCTATAATCTTATTGCTGTGTCATTTGAATTGCAACAAAAAATCAAAACTTTATGTAAAAAATAAATAATTAAATAAATAAATAGGTTAAGCAACTAATTTTACTCTTAGCTGTAATTTAGAAGCTGGTGGGTTAGACACTTACTGACCAGGACAAGGACACAAACTGATGACTGACAAAAAATTATTTTTATTTGGTTTCTATTATTTTAATATGTTTTTCAGTATTCATATACATGGTTGTATACAAAAATCATTGCATCTTATGATAATGATGGCAGTAACTACAAAAGTAGCAGTGTGAGATGAGCAGATGTATGACAGAGGTGATTGAGCCTCATCCTAAAAAAGGATTTTTCTGAACTTTGGAGGAAAGTTTAAACACAACCATCAAATAGAAAAACAACAAGGTCTCCTCACACATTTTTTAACCAAATTAAAAAATACATTCAATAAAATAGAAATGGACTGCTTTCTAGAGATTTTAAAACAATGTCTTGAGGTTTTCTTTCAGCACTGACTATGCTTTCATTCCAAATTTTGCCAGATAGTCTATTCATATTTAAATCAGTATTATGCCTATGCAACTGTAATTAAAAGCAAAACCTACGTTATGTTACTTACTGAAATTAAATTACATTCTTGCTTTCCATTTTTTTCACATTTTCTTAGTCAAATATCAAGAAAGAATATATGCTCTACTGCAACAACAACACAACTATTCACATTTTTCATGCATGAGTTTAAAACAGTCACATCCAAAAAGCATCACCTTCATGTCTGAAATTACTGTCAAGAAAATAAAGCTCTGCAGATGTAAATTTTGCTTTAGTTGTCCAGTAAAACCTTTGAAAAGATTTCCACATTCAGGTCAGGAGCTGTAATTATTTTTGAGTACTACAGACAAGGCAGAATCATTTTTTACAACCTTTTGTTCACAGCCATTCAATCACTTTTTTCAGTTCATGTGACAGTATCCAAGCTAGAATAGAGATCTTTCAAAATGTTCAAAATGACATATCGGTATTTTAAGAAGAATGCCAACACACCATCTTCTGCCTGCATACTCCTTAACAGTGCTGACAACCCTCAGAAAAAAATAATACTTCTTCCTCAGCCTTGAGTAGGCAAACTAATATTGGGAACATGTTCCAGTTTTAATAAGTTGTCCTAAAGGGATATGAAGAATAGGATCATTTTCTACTCTTTTTCAGGAGTCATATTAAAAAAGCACAAACCAAAAAGCCAACAAAAAAACTGTCCTAGAAACCTGTATGGAATAAAAACTCCAATAATGTTATCAGCTCCACTTATAAAATAGTTAAGTACATGCTCTTCATCAAAAAGTAAGCAAAAAAATTCCAGAAAATATATACAAAAGTATCTAATTTTTCCTAAGATTATTTTTTCTAAAAACAGGAAATAAATAGGAGGTAAAAAACAATGTTATGTATTTCTTTACAGTTTTGTCTGATCCAAATCATCCAAACAATCACTGTAAAATGCTGGTGTAAACACAAACATCAGAACAGAATCTGTATTCTCTGTTTTCTAAAAGTACAGAGGTTCTGCACGCCTTAGCATCTTAGCACTTCAGAGCAATTTCAGTAACTTCGTAAGCACCAGTCATGTTAAAACACAAATATGGTTTTAAACTCTTAGCTGTTTTTAAGATCAAGGACAATTTCCTTCTTTGTCTAAGTCTCTGCATTCCAAGCTCCCCTCAAGAGATATGATTTCCAAAAATGTGTATATATAGTATAGAGCCTGTCATGGCAGTGCTTAAATCCCATGTTATTTGCAAAGTTATAGCTGGCACAGTACCAATTTAATGTAGCTTGAAATATAATGTTTGTTTCATGAAAAATCTCTCTTTTCTTTACTTTTACATTTTTGTTATTTTTTATTACCCGCTAGGTCAGTGCTTTAGGTATTCAGTCAAAATACAGAAGACCTTCACTTCTGTCCCCTGCCTGAATTGATTTCAACTCCTACTGTTCAACCCATCTTCTGTTGCAGTTTGCATTTAGTCAAGAGGGTGGAAGGAGAAAAAGGGAAACTTTGGCCCAGGATTCAGAGTTTGCCTTGGATGAGGTGAGATGCAACTTCATACCTCACGTCCAGTGAGTTTGGTGCAGAATAAACAGGCAAGGCATGGTGTGAAGACTGCTGACTGAAAAGCTATTACAAGTACAGGGGAGAAAAGTAGCTGGATTCTACACCATGCTGCAGAAATTGTTTTAAATTAAGACTCCAAAACTATAAAGATGTGACTTGGGATAATGTTGTATTGTTTTAGAATAAAGGCAAAACAATTAAAATAATGACACTAGAAATATGAAACCTGCATATATAAAAGCAAAAGTATCAAAGTGAATTGTTTTTTTCTTAACTACCTCTCAGCCCTGACAAAGATACTTTTTATAACTGAAGACAAATTTACATATTAAGTTCAAAACCGTTTGAGGTTTAGCCCACATTAAAAATTATTATTCACTTTCTAAAGTGACTCAACTTCAGATGAAGAAAATTGAGCACTCAGTTGAGACTGGAATTTTGTGTACCATTTCTCCTACAATCAGAAAACACAAAACAGAAGGAAAACTTGCCCAAGCCCAGATCACACACTTTTCCTACATTTTCTCCTCATTCTCATATCCTCATCCTCTTTCTTCAAAATAATCTTTTCTTTAAAAAGACTCATAAGACAACTTACATAAAACTCAAATGCTATGTGCACAGATCAATTTAAAAGCAAATAAACATTAGAAAAAAAATTATTCTGGGTTATAGTTCTCAACAGAAAGTCATAACAACCTGCATATCTATTGGGCCATAACTAATTTTAACACCTACAATAACATGTAGAGTAATAACTACTTTCTATCTCCATTTTCCTTTTGTAAGCTTAATACAATATAAAACACATCACAGGCATACAAAATATAAAAGCTTCACAGAGGTTTTCTGTACATCTTGTTATGACTTAAAAAAGCAAAAGGTCCAACCACACATATACAATTTCCTGCATGCCAACAAAGCTTCGCACAAACTCAAAAGCTCTTCTTGACAGATAAACCAAAGAGAAGCACTGAGAGAAATCCAGCAATCAGTTGGCATTACAATTTTTATACAGGTTCTTATTCTATGGACTTTCTTTCGTGGATACAATACAGTAATGTGTGTGTATCTAAATTTACATCCACAACTTTTTTTTTTTCCGTTTTGCCAAGTTAATTTTATTCAGAAAACTGGACAATGTTTTTACTCCAGCTATAGCTGTGCTTAATCTAAAGCTTTACTGGTCTAGAAATTCCAATATATTAAAAAGGCCAAGCCCACCAACAAACCTGTATGCAGCACCATCGAGTATCAACTACCCACCTTTCTACAAAGAGGCTGTTTCAGTAAGGATGTGGCTCATGAAGCATTACTCAGGGCTGCAGTATGTCTGTGTTGGTAAGAGGTGCCTGATGGTTATTATTGAACTGGCAGAAGGCAGTGATTTACAGCAGTCCTCTGCTGCCCATATGTACGGCTGCAGGCTGACTGCCAATACA